ATCAGACAGCACTGCGGTGCTGCTGGCTCTTAGCTTTACCCTTCTCAACCCGTTCCTCACTGCAACCAGGCAAATCCGACCAGCTCCGAGCAGAGAACCACGGTTTCTGAAACATGAGCTTAAATGAACCAGTCGGTATATTTTTCACTGCAGGAAAATTGAACAAGGAAAGGTGTTGTTGGGCAGGCAGGGTCACAGACATCCTTCCTCCACTTCTCAGGAAACTGATAGATCAGAAACCATACACTTTGTGAGTTTAACAAAGGAAAAAGCTATGTATCCGTCACAAATGTGTGTATGTTCCCAGCTATGCAGGGACAGGCTGCTGGGACAGCATGACATTCTGGAAACAGCTGTGAGAAATAAGACTGCTTAGTTATGAGAGGGACGGGTTAGGGTGCAGCCCATCAGAAAAGTGTAACTTGGATTCAGTATGAAGTCAGAGGCAAGAGGAGGCTTCTCCCCTTACTTCATCAAATGAAATTAATATCCCCTCTCCTGCTTGCAGTGTAAATATAACCAACATCATATTTCCCCGTCAGGTGTTTGTGCTTTCACATTTCCTTCTAAAGCATGAGGCCCCGTCTCCCTTTTGGACGCTCCACACTTCTACCCCAACCCTCTCCGAAGTATCCAAGAACCAAAGGGTCAGCTCAGCATGAAGATCATTCTGCTTCCAAACAGCAGAGAGAAGAGAGAAACTGTGCAGTCAGTCTGTGCCACATTTGACTTGGCCTCCTGGCACACAGATGCTCCTCACCCCCATGCCGTGCCCCGTCCCATGCCGTGACACACAGGATGGAGTGGCAACCATTTTTTAGCTGCAAGGATACAGATCTTAAGTAAATATTTATTTGCCCAAATTGCTCCCTAAAACAGGACATGGTACTGGATTGGCTGGGTCTGAGCTCAAGCTGACTCACAAGGAAACAAGATAGATATTTTCCTAGAGGGTGAACTCCACGTTACATAAGCTCAGCCTCCCAACATCTGATCACAGTGCAAACTCTGCCATCCCGCTGAAAAGTTAGACACAAGTTGAACGAAACCACGTGTTCTTGAAGATGTCAGTGAACTGCTCGTTTCAGAAAATGCTGCTGGAGCGCAAATCACCATTCTCACCTTGAAAAAACAGTTTCATATGCAGCAAAGTCAAGGTGAGAATATTTTTGCATACCACAATTTTGCACCCTAGTTCCCTGCTTAGAATGGACATGTTCCAGGCAGTTTTCAGTAAAGAAGGAGAAATGATTGAAGTGTCTTGAAATAGAAAAAAAAATGTGAAAATAAATTATGATATGACCCTGGACTAAAAGTGATAAATAAAGAACAGCACACGGCAACATGTGTAAATCTGGCCAGAAAATGTCAAACTACTAAAATATCAAGTCATAGAAAAATGCATAAAGTTTAAGGGCATATATCTACAGTTCAGAAGTACAATGAAATAGATGAAGGATTGCACATTAATAGCACACAAGGGACTGATGAGCTGAACTTCAGGGTCCTGGTCACCTCTGCAGGGAGAAAGGGAGCTGTGGTCGGGTCCAGATGCACACGTGTACACATACATACACACGAACTTTTACCACGCACACTGTAGTATGTGCACAGCCACTCACACATGAATAATTCTTGTGAAGACAAGTGGGCTTTTTAACCATATACGTGCAGCTCTGGGCGATCAGTCTTCTTGAAACCATCTTTCTGTCTGTAGGTACTTGGCGTGTGTGTTAGAGTGGGGAACATCCTTAAGTTACTTTTTTCTCCTTGCTGAGATGAAATACCGACACCCAAAGTTGAGAGGGGAAACGTTTGCTTAGTTCATAGTTTGTAGAGGTTTCAGTCCATAATCAACTGGGTCCAGGGCATGTTGGCATCACGGAGACGTATCGCAGAGATGAAACAGTTCATGGAGGACAGAAGGTAGCAAAAGCAACAAGGGATGACCATGGCTCTTCCTATCCCTTATATCTTATGCAGGCTACTTAGAGAGGGTAGCACCCACACCCTCCATCCTAGTGCCCTTGAGCCTATCATTGCAACATGAATCGATCCCAGCATCACACACTCTATATCCAGTCACCTCTGAAGAAGGTGACTGCATTGGGGGGACATCCAGACACAGCCATAACAGGTTATTTGGATACTTACTATATGAATTTCCCCAAAGAATGGACTGCATAAAAAAGTCACATCGTGAAGTATTTATTTAGAACTTTTATTAATCCCTCCCCTATTAATAGAAGTTCGTAACTCCACCCACACAGCAGCATCTTTGCCTGTCCAAGCTCTTAATTATTGTATTTGCACCGTATACCTGATGCTTTACACAAACATGGTTCAATTTTTTCTGAAGTAAAATATTGTGAATTGTGAATATAGGATTTAACATAGCTAATGAAATTAATGTTGGTCCAGTCTCATAAAGAAATGAAGACGTGGTAGAATTATAATTGTTAAAAAATGAAGAAAACTGTTTATAAAGAAAATGATAGATTATTCAGAGATGAACTATTAATAACAATAATTACATGTGGTATTACTCAGAAACCTGGTAAGCATTCAAATATATTTTCAGAAATAACTCTTTATGATCATTCTCTGATAGCCAAGTGTAAAGACAATCACACTCCGTCCCCCTTTTTTTCAAATAATACCAAACAATCAACTTAGAGTGCACTTGAAATTATAATTTAAATACCATTAAATGGAAGATAGCCCAATTATTTTCAGAATTTTAAGTTTTATATGTGGAACAAATACCTAGTTCTAACTTTATTTATCAGTAAGTACTATGGATTCTTCTCCTTCTTTTAAGAGACCTTGGTTTAAGATCCTTTCATGACCAGCTGTTTCGGCTATCTAGGATTTCCTGCACTGGTATTCTACTTTAAACATATATCTAAGCAGCCACATTGATGTTTGAGCCCTCTTTTCCCAGTGAATTTCTGATTCTGTTTTGGAAGCTGCAGCTAGCGAGCTTAGCTGTGATACGAAGATTGCTCAAGCATTTAATCCTTCATCTTGAACAGGACGGTTTTTGGCTCTAAACACTGCCCTTGTGAGCAAAGTGATCGAAGTGATGAATCTCCACAGTAGACTGAAAAATGATCCCCGATGACACCCCTGTCCTTCTTAGAACCCGCGGCTGTTACTTGACAGAGTAAAGGGAGCTTTGGAGATGTGGATTGAGTTAAGGATCTTAAAATAGGAGATTATCCGGGATTATCCTCAAGGGCCCCAGATAATCCCACAGGTCCTCTTGTGAGCGAAACAGGAGCAGAGCAGGGCTGCAGCCGGGTGAGGACAGAAGCAGCCAGAGGCCAGAGGCTGGAGACGGAGGGAGGGGTCATGGACCAAGGGACTTGGACAAACTCCAGCAAAAAGGAAGACAGGAAAAACAGATTTGCCCCCGGAGGCTTCAGATGATGTGAAGTTTGTGGGCCTGTTTTAGACTTCCGATCTCCAGAATTTGAAAGAATAAATTTGCCTCACTCTAAGCTACTGGTTTTGCGGCAGTCTGTTACAAAAGCAATGGGAAACTAACAACCTCTTCTCTGGAACTCCTCTGCTTTCTCCCTGGTGAATGTGTCCGGCCGGTGTCAGGAGGGGTGAGAGAGGGAGAAGGCTTTCTCTCTACCCCACATCTGAGGGGTCACTTCCAAGTCTTTCTCTCCCAGACCTTGCTTCCAGCCCGCCCGAGTGCCAGGCTGCTCCTGCTCACAGGGAATCCGGTCCAATCCCAGTGCAGTGGGATGGAAACACTTATGCCAGGGCCAGGACTGGCAGTGCACAGATGGTTCCCTACGTAGACTTCCACCGTAGTGCCGGCTTCCCTCACCATTGTTCTCATTGCTTCTGCCCTTTCACATTTATAATATGTTCGTCGTCATCATCACCATCATGGAATTTAGAAGAGCTCATGTTTCCATCACACAAATGTTGGGCACATCACACACCTCACACTGACAACTCATTTAATGCTTGCAGCAACAGGAGGATGGTGCTAATGTTGTCATTTTAGAGAGACCTTTTTAAGGCACGGAGAGGTCCAGTACCTTGCTCAAGGTCACCTGGTAGAAAGCGGCAGGGCCTCGGTTTAGTTTCAGGCAGACTGCCGTTTTCAACAGTGCTCTTGTCATGCTTCTCCGAGTAGGATTTTCACAAAGATGCTAAGCAGCGTGTGGAGACCCAGACACCCAGAATCACGCACTGACATAGCTACTTCCAAACGTGGCTGGGCCAAAGAGCTCCAGACTCACGCAATAATGCCAATGCAACAATCTGTGTTTTATCCAACCTCTGTGGCAAACTAAATAAGAAAAATGAAAAAAAAGCATCCGCACAAATTGTCCTTGGGATTTTCAGGCCTAAATTAAAATTATGAGAACTGATAGAGGAAAGTAAGTTATTGGAAGGAGCACACATGTTTTTGACGTTGCCTTTTGTGTAGAGTTTAACCACGGAGTCTATAAGTGGAGTTGGCAGATGTATTTTCCTTAACAGGTCAAGTGCTTTCCAACTGTCCTTGACAGTAGCTAAACAGAAAGGGTGTTTTTGCCAAAGACTCACAAAAAAGAGTTAACATTTCATTAGAAAAGACAGCAGTTGTACGACTTCTTAAATGAAAAATTTGCTAACCTTGAGACAAATGCTGCAAGTCAGTCTGGATAGGACTGCCTGCCCCAGTGTGAGCAGTCTTTTCCTACTTAGTGAATAGGACAACCGTTGGTTTTGATTATCCACACTCTCACAGCGTTGGAAATTATAAGCCATAGGATAAAGCTGGGCTCACAAAGCAATGAAGTAGGGTTGATGTTGCTTCTTTTCCATGTAAAGCTCTATTGCCCACATTGAAATAAACATAAGTACCTCCTACTAATTTAGTGACATGACAGCCAAAGAACAGATAATAAGACTTACATAAGCCTGATGATTTGATAAAGAAAAACTAATATTTTATACATTAGTTTCTATAAAATATGGCTATATGTTAATTTAAATCTTAATGCCTTTATTGTACATAATTGTTTAATCCAGTGACAATCACATTGATATAAGACCTATACACTTTCTTCATAACTATTAGAACTCAACCAGGTTTAACTATTAGAACTCAGTCAGGTTTAATTATTTGAGCAGTCCCAAACTTTAAAAAAAATTACATTTTTATAAAGCATGATAATTTCAACTAATTATAAGTAAATTATACACATGTTCTCATGTAATTGAATTTATTGGATGCACACTGAGCCAAACAGAAAGTTATGAGCATTTGTATGGAGAATTATGTCTGGCTTTACATAATTACACTCTAAGGATAAGTATACTAGAACTGCTTACATATGACTAGGAACTCTTCTCCTAATGAACTGAAGTCATGAGCATCAGGTCTGAGCCCAGGTAGTCTTCCTTCATACAGAGTAGCAGATATGATTTCATGGATCCTGAAACAGCCAACTATGTGCAGACTTCTGTCTTCATCAAAAGTCAAAGCAAGCACCCATGACCCAGTGGAACTTTATTCCGGTTGAACGCAGGTCCCACAGAACATGTGAATCCTGCCCGCCTCCTCCACAGTTCCTGGGATCTACTCTTTCTGGAAACGTGGGGAGCTTTTTCATGCATGACTGTGCCCTGCCCAGTCCTGTGGGAGGTGTGGAGGAAGACAGGAATTTGGCTGGGGGAATTGAAACATATTAAAAAAAACAAAGCACAACAAAACAACAACATTTAAAAAAAATGATCTTGTGATTTGGCGAAAGAACAAGAAGAGCTCGCTTTGTAAACCAGGGCTTAGTAATTTTCCAGCATCTCATGGGTCTACTCCCACTACAAGATCAGCCCTAAAAATAAGGGTACTTCGAATTCCAGGGCTCACTTCTGGAGTCTGGATTTTCATATTCATATCTGGGCCTTTTATCTCAGCTGACATATTTAAAAGTGAAAATGCAAAGGATTTCCCACTCCCCTGCAGGAAAGGCTGCATTACATCAAATCAAAGCATAGCTCATAAAGATGGAATAGTCCAACCTTCCACTAAGGCACACCACTTTCCAAAGCACTAATGTGCTGATTGATTCCAGGCACCAAGACCCAGACCTAACACATTCAAAATTTAGCTCTTTACCTCTTGTGTCTCCATTTCTAAAACTTGCAAACTTTTCCATGCAAATAGAACTGGGGAAGGAAAAAAAATATGTTCCACTTTCCAGACAGAAATATAATGTAAGACACATGAGTAGTCATGTATCTTCCAGTAACTGTACATAAGAAACAGGTGGAGTCTTAAAAATAATTTAACCCAGCATGTCACACAAATACTATCAGTTGAACAAGTATGTGTGTGTACGTGTGTGTGAGTTGGTCTGTGTACTGTACACTAAAATAGCCATCTCAGTTTGGAGTGGCTGCACTGCCAGGGCTCACTGGGTACTCACTATAGGTCGCAGCTGCTGTGCTGGTGTAGTGACGGTGTTTGTGAGTGTTCACATCTACCACTTTCACTACTACAGGACTTTCATAGCTACTGACACCCTCACGTGCATTGTGCATAATTATTAACCCAATCACACACATTGCACTGCACTGTGAAGCAACCCTGGAAAAGACAACTTCAGGGTACTGGAGTTTGAAGACAGGACTAACAAGTGACGTCATTCCGTACCTCACCCCCAGCCCTGACACTCAGTAGGTAGCCAACATGGTACAAAATACGAATCGCTCTGTTAGAATTGTGTCGTTTCGAATGTGCATCTATAGGCCATAGGTGTGGATCACAAGTGGGGCTTTCAGAGATGAAATGATTCTGGGATTCTCTTTTTTTTGGTTTTGTTTTTTCTCCGGTACCAGGAATGGAACTCACGACCTTGCGTTTGCCAGGCAGGCACTGTGCTGCTGAGCTAAATCCCCAGCCCCATGAAAGGATTCTTTAACCTAGTTCCAAGCTCTCTACTCCGCTTCAGCCAGAGGAAGTGTTTATTAGACTTTAGGTAAGTTCCTTTTGGAGAAAAAAGATACATAGTTAAAAGTAATTTGCAGTTTACTTTAATAGGCAGTTTGGGAACACAGTAAACTGTATACTCAATTCTAAGAAAGGATTAACCTTTTAGAGGTGTATTGCCTTATGGAGTCAGGCAAGAGGAAAATGGCTCCCTTCCAGAAAGGTAAACACTTCCTTTGGAAGTGAGGGAAACAGGTTACATTGTCATGAATGTGGCAGTACAGGTCCTGCACAAATCATATTGATGAATTTCCTGTTGGACTGTTCATGTTCCACAAGGCAAAAACCTGACAACCTAATATTCTACTCAATTTAATGAAAATTAAAGCAGAGTTATTTGGAAGTAGCTTTGACTTCACTGTTTTGATTTTCAAAAGTTGGGCAAGGATCATAGTCTGTGAAGTTTCCAGAGACAATAATTACAATTTAAGCATGCATAACAGAAAATTACAGGTAATATACAATCGTCACGATATATAATCATGGTTTATTTTGAAAGCTGGCTTTATAGTGAAACTGTAGATATTTGTCAGTTTAGTAAAAATTAACTGCCAGATGGTAGGGCTGATTTATTAGACACAAAGTCCTGGTAAGAGAGAACACACCCACCCTTTCTTAGTGCTTTCTGCTGTTGTAACAGAATTACCTGAGAATGGGTAGTTTGAAGTGTTCCTTAGTGTTCTCGGCTGGGAAGTCCAAAGTCTAGGTGCTGATGCGCCAGGGAGCAGCGCAAGAGCTGACCAGGTTTCTTCCTCTGTTAACAAAGCCATAGGTCATCTCGGCCACCCTCACCTCCTCCACCAATCCCAAAACACCCTCAGTGTCCAAATCTGGACATTCATTCAGTCTCCAAAATGTGGGGTGCGTGGTAAACACAGCAAACCACAGCACCGTGCTAGATGAGACTGCAGGGACAGATGAAGCCCTTCAGCCCCTTGGCCACCACTCCACCCCAAGGAGGTCCTCTGAGGCCACTGCTGTATATTCAGGAAGAAATGGCGCCTTCATTTCTAAAGGTGGCTAAAAAAGTCCTTGCCGAGACTGGTCTTCTATGCAAGCTTCTCTCCGTGCTTGTCTCACTGTTAATTAGCACGGTGCACTGTGTCCGGAGAGTCATGTCTTCGAGGCAGCAACGTTTCCATCCACAGATGGAGGCCCGGCCAGGAGGGCAGTGAGAGGGAGGATCTGGCAGTGGTGGGCTGTGTCCAGGGTGCCCGGAAAGGTCTGCCGCACCCTGTGCTGCCCCAGCTCGAGCCTTAAGCTTGGTGAATGCTGCCCGGTTCCTATCTGGGCATGTCTGGTGTCTCCAGCCTGGATGACACGTGTTTCATAACTTTTAATGTAAGAAACCAAGGGAGTAAAAGCAAACACAACAAACAAAAGCAAGCCGTCATTGGTTACAGGAAAAATGCCTGGGAACAAGGCCAGTGGAGTTGTGAAATCTAAAGTTCTTGCTATAAATGCATTTTAACTGCTAAGAGTGGGTTTGAAAAGCAAGTAGAAAAGAAAATTTCTCAAACTGAAACAAAAAGGCTTCCATGGTTTTGGCTACTTTAAATAACGAAAGTGTCCGAAAGTTGGTGCGTTTTTGATTCTTGTTTTCCATGATCAATATGAGAGCTCAGAAGTTTTAACTATAAAGATGAATGTGATAGTTGTTTTATTTAAGGCATTTCACCCAAAATTTGTATCAGTAACTATGGATCAACACTGACTGTGATTTTATAGGGACTCAAGAGCTAGAAATGTGGTACCCACTTATAATCTTAGCACCCTGGGAGGCTGAGGCAGGCGGATGGCAATCTCAAGCCCAGCCTGGGAAACAGAGTAACTTCGTGAGACCCTGTTTCAAAAATAAGAACTAAAAAGTGGGCTGGGTTATAGCCTAGTACAAAGGCCCTCAGTTCAATCCTAAGCACACCAAGATAAATAAATGTCACTCTACAATTAAATATTCTTTATAACAAAATAACAGCAAAATTGATGGTTAGCTCACCACATGCCGCACTCCCTTATAAGTGCTGACCATGTACTGCGAGCTTATTGGCAACCAACAACCACCACTGAGGTCAACAGTCTACTTGGTCCCTACTTCCCTCAGATGGTAAAAGGGAGGCAGAGGGTAACTCAGCAACCTAAGATCAACCAGGTACTGAGAGAGCAAACCAAGATTTAAAGCCAGACTGGGCACCGGGACCTACGACTGTCACCACCACTTTCTCCTCTCTGAAATAACGCTCCGCACAATGACCACCATGACATGATCCTTAGTGTTCTCGGCTGGGAAGTCCGAAGTCTAGGTGCTGATGCGCCAGGGAGCAGCGCAAGAGCTGACCCAGGTTTCTTCCTGTGCTAACAAAGCCATCACTGAGTCAACTCCTCGCACAGCCATGGAAGCTGATTTTGCAGAGAAAAAAATGATACCAAGTGTACATGACTGTGTCTTAAGTAGCTTCAAATACCATGGGTTCTAAGGTGTCATAAATAGCTCTGAGGCAAGACGTCACAAGCAGCATTTTTAAAAATCTAAATGGAGGCCCCATGAGATCATAATGTTAAGTGAAATAAATCAGACACACAAGCTTAAATTTGGCACGGTTTCTCTTATATAAGAAACTCAAGTTATACATAAAGAACAAAATAAAGATGGACAACAGGAAGTGGGGAGATAGGTCTTTCTAGAAGGGGAAGGGACCCAGAGATGCAGGAAGCACGACGGAGGGGCCTGGGTGAAGATGCCCGCCCTGACCCCAGTTCAGCCCCAAGGCAGCATGCTGTGAGGTTCTCTACAGACCTGAGTCAGGAGTCCCGGGCTGGGAACCTTGACCAGCTCAGCTCAAAATAACTAACGTCTCTGAGCCTTCAGCGCGACCTCCATCACTGTAGGTATCAAGAAGAACGCCAGGGTTAAGGTCGTTTGCAGGGCACTGAAAGGCAGGGCATTCTGGAACCTACCGGAGCCTCAGGGACTTAAAGCATGGAACCTGGGCTTCAGATGGGCCGTTTGGTCATTCGCTCAGTGACAGAGACAGACACTGGGCAGGGCTGAGCCTGAAGCCAGAGAAGCGAGATGAAGCAGCAACCCTACACGGTCCTGCAGCTCCCACAAGCGCAGAGGGAAGATTGCATGGCAGCAAAATCCAAAAGAGATCGCGAACAAAACAGACCATCACGATGACGTTGGCAGACAGGATGCCAGGCAGTCTCAAAGCACATCACACACAGCACACAGGACAGAGCTTAAGGGAGAGCCCAGGACACACAGGTGCTGCCTGCCTGCAGTGCTGAAGAGCTAGGGAGTACGGAAGTAGCTGGGGTGATGCAGGGCTCTCTCTGGGAAGGGAGGGAGAAAGACCCACCAGAAGCACTGGGAGAGTCCTGCGGCCAGTTAACGGGAGATGAAGGCCATGAAGAGTTCTAAATGGTTAAGAAGTTCAAGATGATTGTACTCAGGATTGTACTTCAAGATGACTGTACACATCAGTCAACTCCTGTCACTGTCACAATATACTTGAGACACTGAACTTGTGAAGAGACATAGTCGATTTGGGCAATAGTGTTAGGCAGTCTAGCCCACGAGAGATGAGTCCCACAGGGGGCTGTGGTGAAGGAGTGGATTACAATGGGTGCCCATTCAAAGCGAAGCCCCGGAGCTCATCAGCCAGGCAGCAAACAGAGGAGCAGAAGGAGCTGTTCCCATAATTTCCTTTCAGGGCACAACCTTAGCAACCACCCACCAGATACAACCTCTCAAGGACCCCACCATCTCCCCTACGGCCACCCTTGCAAACCCAGCCTTTAAGACATGGGCCGTGGGTGACGTTCACCACCGAAACCACGGCACAGGCTAACAGGGCAGAGGGTAGGGGACGGCGGCACTGCAGGAGAATGGTGCTGACGGTGGCTTGGGGCACACAGGGTGGAGGAGGTGGCACTCCTCAGAGGGGACATGAGATCAGCAGGTCTATCCTGGCATCTCATTTTTGCAAGAGAAAACTTGGGGCTGAGGAAACTCAAGCTCCTGAAATAGGTAAAACAGTGAAAAGAGTCTCGTGAAAGAATAAATGAAGATCTGACGCATGGCTACTTACACAGCAATGCAAAATGGTTTAAGCCAACAGGTTTGTAAAATTTTAAAAATTTAAATTTATTAGGATTCATTAGTAACACAATTACACAGAATAAAGTTCAGGAATTCACCAATGATGGTCACCAAAATGTGCTTCTATGTGGCATTTTCAACCTTCTTTCTCATTCAGATTTATTCATATTCAGAGTTTCACACAGAGCTCACAATGCAGTTTTGACAGGTCTCCCACCAGTACAATGAAGGGACGCAGATCTTTCATGAAAGGCACAGGAAGAACCTAACTGACACGTTTAAGGGATTTGGTAAGTCTGAGTTTCTCCACTTTACAGAAAAGAAAAAAGGCCCAAACAAACAGCTGTAGACGTGGTTTACGGTTACCATACACACGGACACACGGACACCAACAAAGACTTAGCGTGACACAGGATTAACTTGGGAACTACTTACCACCGAAGCTTACTAAAAGACTCAGTTTTTCAGGATGAATAAAAAAAGGGAAATAAGGTGGGGAATACTGATCATTTTGTTAAAACAAGGTCACAGAGACACGGTAAATAATCAAAAGACAAATGATTCTGTCAAGGCTGAGTAGCTGCTATGTAACACGTTTTGTGCATACAAATAATCACTGACTTTGTTAAGTACTATTACTCATGTTCTAAATGTAATTGCTCATTTAATTCTCAAAAAAATACAATAATTTAAAAAGAAAATATAAATTCAAGCAAAGGCAAGGAAAGCTGAATACCTAAGGGAAAAATTTTTAACATAGTATAATAATTAAATTTGAAACTAGCTACATATGTGAATTTAAAGCTTGCATAAGATCAGCAAGAATATCCAAAGATCTTTCTTGGTATCTTCCAAACAAGGAACTATCACGTATGCTAAGTACGAGGGATTTCCCAAAGGAAATACACAAATGAATGTCTCAAAATTCATTATGCTAAAATTTTTTGTACCCACAAAAATCCTTCCGATATCCACCCAAACTTAGTTACAAATAAAAATGTCATTGTTTAAAGTGTATAAAAGTAATCTGGCATCACCTTTAAGGTAATGCATGAATACTGTCTAGATATTAAAATTCAAAGTGAAAATAAACCGAATACAAATTAAGTATTTGTAAGATAGTATAGTCTCAAAAATCTGAAATTTTAGTTTTTCAAACCAAATCTAATATAGAATCAGAGCAGCATGCACTCTTTAAAGAAAAATTAAAATGCATACAATTTTAAAATCATTGATCCCAAGGCATGTATACTCACTCTCTCCAAGAACATTTCAATAAAACATTAAATTTAAAGAACAAATGATGGTATTAAAATAGTCTGTGCAATGTTTGTACAAATAACATTTTTATGAATATAAGTACATACAATCCAAGAAAAGGGCTGTGACATTTCCTAATGTTAATTACCGTGCCTAACAATTCACAGGACACAAATTTAAATAAAGCTTTTTTAAACTGGCAAACACGTAATAGTCTGTCATTCAGTACAGGGTACTTAACATTTATGTTATTTCCAAAGCCATCACACTAGAGCTGTAAGTTGCCACTCCTAAAACCTAAAAGTCATGTGGAAAGTTAAAGTCATAAATACATCGTCCACACAGTTGGGTATTTACACTTACACAGACACGACCCCCACCCTAGAGTCCAGCCTCAACACGGCCCTCCAGTTTCTCGCGGCAGGCAGGACCCCCTTTTGCATCTAGGAAAGGTCCTTCTGTGACCTTTAGCTCAAGAAACAGAACAGAACAACTTTGGTCAGGTACCAGGTGCACGTGCCACATGCTACATTCTGTGTCGCTGCAAGACCCTAGTCTAGAGAGATCCACGGATAAGTACTCATTTGGTTTGAAAACGCACTGTACCGTTAACTGCAAAACTTAGAAGAGACCACAGTCTTTTAGGTTGTTCTTTATGATGACATCGGTCACGGCGTCGAACACAAACTGCACGTTCTTAGTATCGGTGGCACAGGTGAAGTGGGTGTATATTTCCTTGGTGTCTTTTCTCTTATTGAGGTCCTCAAACTGACACTGAATATACGCAGCTGCCTCTTCGTATGTGTTTGACCCTGAGGTGGGAGAAAGAAGACGTAAGGTGAGCAGTTCAAGCACCTACGCGGATACGTGAAACAGACCTTAGGGTGCTGAAGTCAGTTTCACGCACGTAAAAAACGCGGGGTCCTTTACGGAGTGCCTCTGAGAGTGTGAGAGAAGTGATTTCCTCTCTCTGTGAGATTACCCTGTGCTAATCATCTCGGGACAGCTGTACCTTATCTTAAAATCTAAGCATCTGTGTGGCTTTCCTGGTTTGCCTGGTCTTGATTCCTGCCTAAATCTCCGCATCAGACCTCCTCCTTTCTTCTCTCCTCCCATCCCCATCCCAAGGCTTGACTCGGAGCCTGGGCGGTGGGAGCAGAGCAGTCTACCCCGTGGGGGGCGGGAGTGCTGGCAGAATGCTGAGCAGCAGCGTCTGCTCCCTCTCCTGTGCACACGTTAGTTACCATTTCCCACTGGTTCTCCTTGGTCCAAAAGCTGTCCATCCTACGGTGTGGATGTGGACTGAGAAAGCCGATTCCACGCCCCTGCTTTCGTGCTGGCCAGAGACTTCCTCAGAATACACAGTTCAGAGACTGCCTGGTCTTTTCTGAAGACAAGTGCACACAGCCCGACTGCACCAGTTTCGGGGTGCACACCCGCGAGAACTATTACTGAGCCAGTCGACAGCAGCACGGCCTTCGCTGTAGGAAACAACCTAAGAAGTTCCTCCACCACGGCTGGCTGACAGATCCCAGAGCCCTCCACAGCGAGCACACGTAGAGTGTGTAGAAGTGTAGAGTGGAGAAAGCCCACTCTACACACAGTAACCCGGGTGCGTCTCCCCCACTCTCTGCTGAACAGGAGAAAGCAGGCACAAAATCCACAGGTGACCCAAACGCTGCCTGCAGAGACAATTCAGATGCACTGACGAGCACAAGAGTTGAGATCAGGGTTAGTCTGTCTGTGTCCGGGGCGGCGGGACCATGTGACTAGTTAGGATGGGGAGGACGCAGTCAACTCAAGGCCTTCACACCCTGAACTATATCCCCAGCCCTTTAAAAAAAAACAAAATTCTGACACAGGGTCTCCCTAAGTTGCCCAGGCTGGACTCAAAATTTGCCACCCTCCTGCCTCAGCCTCCAGCATGCTGAGACTAGGGATGTGTGCCACCTCCAGGCAGCGAAAACATTTAACTTCTTGGCTTGAGTGGTGGACGGTACTTTTGTACTTTTCACTTTCAAAAACTCAGCGAGTCATACTCTTGCTGACTTTGCGTCTGTGTATGCACAGGCGCATCCACACATAGCGTCGTAACGCAGCAGGTTAATGCACGTCACATATGAAATACTTGAATAAAATGCCCATTTGCCTCCCTGTTCACAGCCTCTCCTGCAGCAGTCACCCAGAACTGCCAGGCCAGCCTGCTGGGGCTGACTCTGCTCTGCCTCGAGCTCACTCTGCACTCAGGACCCAGTAGACCATCTGCCCCCTGTGTTTCTCTGAGCGGCTTTCTCAGTGCTCAGAACTGCACTCTACAGAACTCCTCTCAGCATACTAACCCTGGTGGGCTCGCTCTCCTACAGATGCCTCACGCTGCAAAGACACCCTCCGTGCGCTTCCTGACACTGCTTCACGGGGGTCCAGCTGCGCCCCGGCACCAGTCTCCAGAAGGAGCAGGTGAGCTCCAGGAGGCAGCAGCCTGTCCTAGGCCCCAGTCTCCTTTCTGCGGCACACGGAGCCCCAGGCACGCACGTGAGGAAGGGCGTTGGGTGCTGTCCGGAAGCGCTGTGGCAGCCTGAATAATGGGACTCATTACAAAGGGACAAAAAGGAAAGCAGAAGCCACAGCCCTTGAATAAGTTTACTTCTCACTCTTCAGTTGCTAGGAATCACATCTCGTTTTATTAAAGCATAACAGGCTCGGTGCTCCAAAACCCTGAGGCAATGAACAGTGTCTGGTTGGCCCAAGGAAGCCAATGCAACCCTAAATGAAAAATACACTGGAGGAAACAGCTCAGGCGGGGTGCACAGCCTAGGGCACTGTGCCTTCTGGAGAGTTAAATTACTGGACCCCAGGAGCTCCCAGACACATGAACAGCCTCAGGCACTCATTTATGGGGCTCATTTTAAGACTTAAGGAGAGAATAGCAAATGTGTGTGTGTGCATGGGATAGAACTGTCCTGAACAATGTTAAGTATAAACAAAACTAGGGTCAAGAATGGAGAACTGTGAAGTTGATTATGTAGTCACAAGAAAAAGAGAAGAGACTTGAGGAATAGATAACGAGTTTGCACGAGTCTCGGGTGAAGGCATACACACATACACGTGCAAGCAGCAGTTGACCCTGTGAACACGAAGCTCCAGGGAGAAATCGGGGTTGACCAAAGGGTTAATGCAGTGAGACTGAAGTGAGTGGGAAGGACAGAGAGCGGGGACTGCAGGTGAGGTGTGGGTCCTGGCGATACAGGGAAGGGAAGGGTAAGGGTCGTGGCAGACGCGCTGGCGGAAAGCCTTGAGCGCAGCCCAAGAGGTCTGCACACGGTTCCTCTGCGGGAGGTGCGGGGGACCGTGACAGCCCCAGGAAACGGGAGCTGAGACCGAAGCAGGAAGCAATGAATCAATACAATGAAGGACATGAGTGTGGGTTTTAAATTATAATCTTAACACTGGGGCCATGAAAGAATTATGTAGTGCTCTTCCTTTGTAAAGATTTTGGAACAGGAATACTGGCAAGGGAAGGGTCACCAAGTACGCTCCCGGTTGCTCTGTGGTCCCCATGGGGTACAGTAGCTGTGGTTGCATCTGGAGCCCCCGGTGTTACAAACTGCTGCAGAATGTGCAGTGTGTCATACAGAACGGCACAAACAAAACGCAAGAGTCAAGGCAGGGGAAACGTGGCCATCTCGATTCAGAGAGCTTCAATTCAGAATCTGAATTATAAACGGTTTCATTCCCAATAAGCACAAAAAGTGCTTCTCAACAAGAAGACTTAGGATTCTGTGACTTTTGGAAAAGCAAGCGAGAAGTTGTACGTGAGCCAGTCTGCGTGATGACGCTGCGCTGGAGTGTGACGCACAATACACACAGCGCTGCGGTACTGAGCACAGTGACACCGGACAGCAGTGGCTTCCCTGCTGGTCCAACGAGGACGTCACTCAGTGGAGCAGCTTGCTGGTGGGCAAGGCTCGCAGGCGCAGGGGACACGGACTCTGTGGCCCCATCACGCTGCACCGTCCCCACCTGAGGGGAGGGGACCCCGTGTGCTGACACCACGGGACTGCATCACATGGCCCAGGACAGGGAGGCCACCACGCGTGGTAAAATAACTCAGTGCAGGGCTGACTAGAGCTGTTGATAATGAATGAGCTCCTGATACTTTTTTCTACTTTAAACAGAAGGATGGGCTAAGGGTAAGTAACTAACTGAAGTCTTCCAGATATTTATATTTAGGGACCCTATAACCCAGGAATCATCATATACCCCCCCCACACAGCTCGTATTGGAACACAGCTCATATTGCCAAAGTGAAATCTTATTCAGAAGCCCAATGTAGCAAACATGAAAGGTGAGTTACTGGACTTTAACAAAGGAAGAGCCTCAGGGGAGTGAGGGGTGCGTGCGTGTGTGAGTGTGTGCATGTGTGCACGTGGGTGTGTAAAATAAGAGCTTGGTCCCCAACAGTCACTTTGAAGTAGCCCAGGAGCTGCTCCGTGCAACCACTCAGGCCTGGACCCAGGGCCTTAGCCCAAGTCTTGATTTTACTGATAGGACGCTGAAGTCTAGATAGATTAGCAGCCTTGTTCAACATCAAAGGGCTAATTCTGAAAAAAGCCAGGACTGTTCTGCAAGTCTATTTTCCTCACTCCAGTGCATTTTCCATAGCAGCAAAATCAAAGCGTCATGACCTGTCTTCATATCAAAGCTCAGATTTCCCAGGAAACCTCCTGCGGCCCTCTGGGCCCCTCCCCCTTTTCTCCTTGCAGTGACGCGGACACTCCTTGACAGCAGCCTGTTTCCTGCTGCTGTTCACTTCCTGTCTCTCATGGTGTCTGTCTTTGAACCTGAACAGTGAGCAGGGAAGCTTGTGTCCCACACCACACCAGGCCTGGGACCCGCTGGCTGATGAACACACCGTATTTTCACTTTAGGAAGACTGCAGCCATCCCCGAAATGATCACCAGATTTCCCATGGAGTGAAGGTGTTATTTTCGATAAGCACATCCCCATCTGAACAAATGACTTGTGCTCAAAGGAAGGTTGATAACATCTCCAAAAAGGGTAAGAATTATGAAGCCAAGAGAGTCAAAGCAACAACTGAAATCTTGCTTTAGGGGAACTTTCACTTTCACAGAAATACGTGACTGGGGAATTCATTCAAAGAAAGTCAAATACCTGCATATTCTGGGTAGCATATTGTGAGAGGGCTCTTTTTGATTTTTTCCTCGAAGAGATCCTTCTTATTTAGAAAAAGGATAATAGACGTATCCGTGAACCACTTGTTGTTACATATGCTGTCGAACAGCTTCATGCTTTCATGCATTCGATTCTACATGGGAAGACAACATCAAAGTTTTACTAATAGCCAGGAGAACATCATAATACTTTAGAAAGAATAAGAAAACAGAGGTTAGTCAGTCAATTGAAAAATAGATACCGTCCCCAAAGGCCCAATCCTGCCACTGCAGAATGAGCATAGCTTTGACTTTGGGTGAGACGAGGGTCTCATCATCACACACAGCTGTCTGCATTCTGAGTGTCCCCTACCTGTTCCCTGCCGCACCTGGGCCAAGTGCAGACATGGGAAAAGAAAGGTCACTGTTGCAGAGGTCAGTCGGTTTCCATTAAGAGATGTGCGGGTTTTAGGGATTAATGAACGAAACTGAACGGGCGAGATCCAATTAGCCCAACACTTATTAGCGACGGCTTTGCGTTTCTGTTCCCCGCCCTCTCAGATCCGTGTACCGGATGGGGAGTGAGCTGCTCCATCGCCGCAAAGTGAGAGGGATGCATGTGTGTGCGCTCATGTCCTGCGTGAATGGCAGCATAAATGTACACACCTCGAATACACAACCAACATCTCTATTGATATTTTCCTATTTTGTATTAGAGTTACTTTAAAATGACAGAGTTTTAAGTTTCTATTTAAAAATATCTTTCCCAGTAAATATTTAATGGTACATGGAACACAGAAGCACAGCAGAACACGTGTGCAAGTGCAAACCCTGCAGAGACAGAGAGGGTAGAGCATGAGCCCTGCTCGAGGGCAGGCGGAACTTTCTTTACCCTCTGCCTGTAAACACCAGACAATGGAAATGCACTGTGTCAGCGCACTGGGCTGGCTGAGACGGACGCTCAAACTTTTCCTTCACCCCAAGGTGGCCTGTGCTTCTCTCCTCTGCTTCCCTTTTATTATGTAAACCGAAATGCTGAAGGAAAACCTGGACTTTCAAATAAATTCAGGCAGGAGCAAGAATTTTTCTCAGAAAAGTTCCTGCCGCATCTCCAGCTCCTGGTGCTCGTGCCCAGCCCTCAGCCTGGGTCTACTTGCCATCTCTTCATCCTCAGCCAGCACCAGGTCGTAGTCGCTCAGGGCCACGCAGAAGATAATGGCAGTCACCCCCTCGAAGCAGTGGATCCACTTCTTCCGCTCGGACCGCTGGCCGCCCACATCAAACATCCTGCGAGGGGAGAAAGCAGGGGTTGAGGCCACACCGCATGTTCAAATGCTCCGAGGACCTTAGGGATGGATGGCCGCAAGAACAAGCTCCAGAGGGGTGGGGAACAGGGACGGGGAGAAAGGAGAAAAAGACTCCGCTATGTCACAGGCTGGTTTCCCCCCAGGAGAGAAGTCTGCAGGTTTTCATAATTTCTGACTCTAGGGTGGGAATCTCTGAAACAAACAAACAAAAGATGCCTCCCCCAACAAGGCACTCCTTAGCATCTGAGAACTCTTAGAGCAAATACGAATGAGTGTCTGCACTGTGTGTGGTTACTGTGAAGTTCCACACAGCAAGCAACCACGCAGGGCGAGATCAAAGGATGCATGCATGGGGAAAGTCAGGGGATGCTGGGGCTCCCGTCTTCCCACTGTAGCATGAGTTCTCTCAGAGGAAGTAAACAAGACTTTGCTGTAAAGCAGAAACACCGCAGGGAGAACACACCGGTCACCCTAATCAAGTCCAAACAGGCAAACAGCTCTCTGTCTATAGAGATAAAACCATGACAATGGGAAAATGAGAAGTAGAACATGAAATAAGGAGAGGCCTGTCTGAATGCCTTGAGATTTAGAATGGAAAAATCCTCCCCTTTGTGCCACAGTGAACCACTGACATCAGTGAAGCAGGTAGTTCACACCACCCCCCAAAATAGCAACAATGATCTTTTTCCTCTTTTTACTGGCAAGAGTTTATAAAGTTAAGGAAAAGTTTGAATTTGCACAGGCTACATTATGCAACCTAGAAATAAACACTTATATAATGGAAACACTATGAGAGCTGGTACATTTTTAAAGGCTTCATTTATCTAGACAGTGCACTAATTAAAGTCCCTATTTAATTCCCAAGCAAAAAGAGTTTTCCCTACAGACCAGTACTGGCCTATAAACCAAGTCTGAGTGCATCAACTTGCATTGCTACTTCTCTGATCACTTAAGCCGCCTTTATGTTACTTTAGCTGGGAACTGTTATCAGAGAAGGCGCTAGACCCAAACGATTCTACCACGTAGTAATTCGAAATGGGTGAGACCCAAAAAAGGACAAGATGCAAAATGAGTAAGATGTAGAAAATGGCAAGAGAGCTCAAAGAGGAACAAAGCAAAAGACAATGCTGGGTAATCACTTGTGAAACTGCTTAGGAACACAACCTGCAAACAATTTGACCGAACAGAATTTATCTCCGGTGATTTCCCTGACCAAGTATCTCATATTCCCTGCACACCGAACACAAAGTAACAACCCCCACCAACTCCCCCTTTTCTCCCGTGATGGTGACTGCCAGCTCGGCTAGAGGAGGGCACCGTGCTACTTCACCAAACACTTCTCTAGGGGCCGCGGTGAAGCCATCTCTGAGCTGTGGTCATCCTCTAAATCGGCTGGCCCTGAGGACTGGAGATCATCCTCAGGCATGGGGACCACCCCCGCCCACTCAGCGAAAGGCTGTTATGGTTTGTGTCTGGGTGTCCCCGCAAATCCTCATGCAGTCGTGGGGCAGGCTTCTAGATTTTTGATTGATCCACAGTCCAATGCTGGGATTATGGGTGTGAGTGCTACACCTGCCTTCGGGTTTGCATACAATGTAAGGGAGAGAAAGAGGCTGCTTGCTGCTACTCCTTCCTTTGCTCTTGTTGCCTTTGCTGTCTTCCAGTGCCATGAACTGTTTCCCTCTGCCATGTGCCACTCTGCCTTGGAGCCAGCCAAGTATGGACTGCAACCACCACAGACTGAGCTAAATAAACCTTTCCTTCCTTCATTTTGGCCATTGGGTATTTTGTCTCAGCAAAGAGAGAAAAGTAACCAACACAAAGCCATTAGGGGTAAAATACTGCAGTTTCTTAGGGGAAAACAAACCCTTCCTCGAGACTGCATGGCAGTTCCGGTCCAAGTACGACAGGTCGCCCTGCAGACCTCTGATGTGCCTGCCTCTATCACCGCCCAAGCCCATCCCTTAAAATGAACACACGCAGGGGTGCTGCTCTGGGGAATGCTGCTCACAGAAGCGACAGCACCCAGAGAGGCAGGTGGCTGCTACAGCAAACATCTACACGTGCCAGTGTGGCCTTGGAACTGGGTAATGAGTCACAGCTGGAAGCAGCTTCCAGTACTTCACAGGAAAAACATCTAGATCATCTTAAAAAGAGGCTGGCAGAAACACAGATATTACAGATGACTCAGAGCAGGGTAGCGAAGTACATCCTATAATCCCAGCACTCTGGGAGGCTGAGGCAGGGGGACATCAAGTTCAAGCCCAGCCTGGACAGCTTATCGAGAGCCTGTCTCAAAAAACATAAAATTTTTTTAAAAGGCTGGGGATGCAGATCAGAGTGAAGGTCTGGATTTAATCCCTAGTACCTCAATAAAAACCTCAAGATTCTGGTATGAATCATGCACAGAATGTAGGTATAGGACTGTTAAATATGCTTTTAATGAGGTCTTGAAAAGAAACGTGATTATACAACACAGGAAAGGCAATTCATGCTACAAAGCAGCAACAGCGGGCTGAACTTGGGCACATTCAGCGGGGGAAACTTTCAAGCCAAGTGTAGAAGGGTGCAGACTTCTTGCCATTAACTGTACAATGACAGCAGGAAGGTAAACAGGAATGCACTAGTAAGTGAAAAGGACCCACAGACACACACACACACACACACACACACACACACACAGAGCAAAGGCAGACACACAACACCTGAGGTGGACCTTGGAGTCATCCAGCTACAAGCCAAGCGCACCATGAACGCTCAGCAGCCAGCAGAGCTGGGAAGGGGCAAACGAGCCCTCCACAGAGCCTTGGGGCTGCCCTACTGGTCGGTCTCTGAGGATGTCTATTTGTTCATGACCCCCTGGGGGCAATTTGTCATGGCAACTAGAAGAACTCCGCACACTCTCTTACTATGCACACGTGGGTACATATTTTCCAGTTAATTCCACTTTGCTCTATAGCAATTATCATTTCCAAAAATATTAAACGTATTTCATCTCCCCTTCCCTAACCCATTCCCTAAGAATGTAAAGACAATGACCTCGTCCCTGTCTGATCTCTGGATGCCTGACATGGGACACACACAGCAAGGACCTGCTGAGCATTTACCGGTCGCAGCCTCTGCTCTGAGCCCACAGAATGGTCTAAACGTAGTTTCAGGCAACAAGAGATGAACTCTGGTACGGCCCAGATCTACACACCCCAGTGACAGTGGTGCCTCAGTTTGTGAATTTGGTTCTTTCCACGATGCTGGCTGCAAACTGAACTGGTTGGAAATGGAATCAAAGTCAATGGTCAGGCTCAGGGTTGACTTTACAGGGAAATCTGATTCAGTTCTTGAGCACTTCGGTTTGGAACCAGAATCATGGAAAGAACTAAGATCTTGAACGGAGGCACCACTGTAATTGATAGTCAAGCATTTTGAATACAGAAAAAAGTTTTAAACTTGCTCCTTTTCTAAGTCTAACTATGAATGAAGGAGGGTCCTTCATATACGCTCATAAATAAAGAACTTTTGGTCTAAACCCACGGCTTTCAAATTTTCAGTGACTCACCATCAGCAGGCGGGATGCTGGCTGTGCTGGTGTGGGGATGGTTTTCTGAGAATCAGTCAACCCACCAGACATGCCTGGCACAGATACAGACAGTGAAGATGATCCGGAGCCAGGCATGGCTGCACATAACTGTAAACCCAGCACACTGGGAGGCTGAGGCTGGAGGACTGTATGTTTAAGTCCAGCCAGCAACTGAGTGACTTAGGAAGACCCTGTCTCAAAGCAAAAAATGAAAAAACAAATAAATAGAGAGCTGAAGATGTAGCTTTGCTTGAAGACCCATATAAAAACACAAACAAACATCAAACGAAAAAACAGAAACAGAGAAATGGTCATTATGCCACATATACAATTAAAACAAATTAATTATTGCATATACTGTTCTTTAAAATTTGGACTTCTATTCTTTTTTAAAAAAGAAGACATACACAGCATGCTCTTCCTGTCAAAAGATGAGCCTTCTGAGCAGCACGGGTCAGGGAATGAGTCTGGTTCCCCAGGTGCTCCAGGCGGGGGCGCGGAATGCAGGATGTCTTAAGTGTGCGGGCTCACGCTGGGACGGCCGTCGAACACCACTGCCACCAAGACTGACCGCCAGCACACACCCCACTGAACCCACACAGACCTCTAACTCCTACACAGAACACTGTACTCCAAAAAAGAGAAGTGTGCGCCTCACACTTACACACTGGACAAGGAACATTTTATAGTAGAAGGATACTTTCTATCTGGCAACACTTAAATAAAACTGTTGATTCCTTAACTAAAGCAAATCACCTAGACACCAGCCATCAGTGCCCACTCACTAGGATGAGTCCGCAGCTTCTTACATGGTAACAGATGCCTAGCCACTCCATTTTGAATTTGTTTGCACTGGTCGCACAGAAAAAGCGAAACTTACTTTACTCAGCAGTTAAAAATCGAAGAATTCCAATATGAAATGCACACAGATCCACCAAAGGGTGACACGCTGGTGTGTCCCCAGCGGAATTGTTAGCTGGAAATGTGTCACGAGTAGATAACCAATGATCTGTCTCATCCTTCACAGTTAGTTTTAAAAGGCAGCCTCAGAAAAACAAGGAATATAAAAATTATGAAAATTTTCACGGGGCTGGGGATTTAGCTCAGCGGCAAAGCGCCTGCCTGGCAAGCGCAAGTTCATGAGTTCGGTTCCCGGTACCGGAGAAAAACCAAAAAAGAAAAAAAAAAAAAAAAAAAAGGAAAATTTTCATAAAGAATAAAATTGATCATCAGTAACTTTTCTAACCCAGTTTTCTGAAGCAACAAGTAGAGTATGTTGAAATCAAGTCAAGCTATCCATAACGCTCTGTAGGTAGATGGCTATGGCTTACACCCAACTGCAGCTATGGCCTTCCAGACAGTCTCCTCCTTGTAGGTGTAAAAGCACAAAAAGCAAACCCTACCTGTTCAACAAGAATAGTAAAAACAGAACAAAACCTATACATGTGCAGCGCATGCAATCTCGGTATGCTCGTTCCTTTCCTTTCCTGTAACATGTACCGGATGTTGAGGAGCCCTTGCCCCAGAGGGCTCTGCGCTTGGTGTCCGGTCAGCCGGACACGTGACTGGCACTTGGGAGGTGGGCTGTTTCCAATGAGTATGAACAATGAGAAAGCAGCAGTTTATTAAAAACAAAACAAACAAAAAAGGGACCAAATAAACAAAAAAAACCCTTTTGCAAACTCCTTTATGCAGCTTCCAAGTATGGAAAGAGGTAACAGTAAGAGGGAAAAACGAACCACCTTTCATTTTTAAGTCACTATTTTTGAAGATCAAAGGACACCACAGTGATTTGGGGTTTCTACAAAAACGCACAAGTTCCGCTTCAGGGGCAAGTCCCGCGATGGCGGCTTCCCCACACGCTTCCTCGAGGAATGTTCCCCTTGACTTTATTATTACCATCTGAACTGGAAGGTGGGTGGAAACGCATGCCAGGAACGCAGTGGCAGCGCGGGCTCGGGGAGCTGGGCCTGCGGACGGGCACTGGGCAGGGGAAGCAGGGACCGAAGTCACACAGCAGATGCCCGGTGGGGGCAGAGACGAAGGTCACGTGAGTGCAGCTCACAGACCAATGAAGACCTGAGGTCAGAAGGTAACATCTGCTTGTGTTTCAGTCCCACAGCTTTTCCCATATCTTGAACATATAACTTATTGGAAAAAGAGAAATGCACTTCTGTGAGTCTGAAAGTAATACTTCGCTGGCCTTCCCCGAGCATGCTTCATATAAACTCAGGGGCATGGACAGAAGGGACTCCAGGACCCCTCTGTCACTAACGGCCACAGTCCTCACCTCCCTGTTCCACCTCAGGAAGCTAACAGTACAGTCTAAATGGTGCTCAGATCCCCTTGCTGTGAGGGAACACTTTCAGGAGTAATTTTAAAGGTCCTTATTTCTGTAAGTAGGCACATATTCTGTCAATAAATCCCCTTTTTTCCTACAGGCAGAGTGTGGGTGTTTAGCTCAGTGGGGCAGGGCCTGCCTGGCAAGCGTGAGGTCCTGACTTCGATTCCCAATTACCCCCTTGCCCCTCAAAAAACACAGAGACCAATATTTTCCAAAATAGCCTATGGTTATGTTAGAGGAGTATTTTCTGTTTAGAAATGAAACAGAAAAAAAATTTTAGTTTAAAGCACTAAAATTGTATGCAAAAGCTGGGCACAGTGGCACAAACCTGTAATTTCAGCTTCTCTCGAGGCTGAGGCAGGAGGACTGCAGGTTTGAGGCCAGTAACTTAGTGAGACCCCATCTCAGTATACAATTATGGCCTGGGGATATAGCTTAATAGTAGTAGCAGTGCTCTCTTGAGCTCAATCACCAGTATCATGAATAAAAACAAAATATAAGAAACAAACAAAAAGGTTATTTGCTTGGCTGGCTATTTTTTCCTAAATAAAAACAGTCAGTCTAAGAATGGGTCTTTTTGCCCCCTTTTGCTCATAAATTCGTTTTCTGTATCATCTGGGAATAGATTTTCTAGCTGTAATTTCCAACTATAGAAGTGTTGTAAACTTTTATTATTAGGACTCATTTCTAAAGCAGTAGCTTTTTATTTCTAAATTTACAGATCCTACAGTTGGAGCCACTCACTTAAAATGAAGGTCTTTGAAAGTAAAATGGGTTTCAACAATTCCAGTGGTCTTCACTCTGGTCCGGAGAACGTCTTGCTGGGTTGGGATGTAGTTCGGTTGTGCAATTCTGTCCAAGTCATTCAAATAGCTGGAAAAACAAAAGAACACATGGTAGCGGTGGACGCGGCCAGTGGAGATCCCTAAAACAGAACCTAAAACTCATCAAATGCAAGAAATATTCACAAGATGCTGGGTGTGTTACATTTTCTGTGAAATGATGTAAAACCAGCAATTTAAGTCTCAGTCTTACAGAACTCCGACAGAAATGAAAATGTTTAGGCTTCTCCAGCCACAAAACTCTTTAGGAGTTTTAAATGTGTGTACTGTTTTAGGTACAGTAATTAAAGTCAAAGAGAGTCAGTTTAAAAAAAAAAATACTTAAAGCACTATGTGTCTGTTCCTTAAAATTCTTCATCACACTTTTTTGGGCAGTAACACGAGGCCTATATTCCACAGATAACTCTTTGGATAAAGATTTTCAGCGTTAGCTTTGGAGACAGGAGTGAGGAAAATGCAGGTGAACATGAGGGAGATGTTTTCCCAGTCTTGTGCTTTGGTACCCTGCACAATACTGTCTTCTGTCCCACACCCATATTTCCTTCCCAGCGACTTCAGTCACTCCGCGAATGCTCTCTGTGAATTATGCCAAATATGTTGTGGGACAAAAGTGTAATGGTTCCACACCGTGTAGTGAAAGAAAGTAAATTATTTTGTGTCAAGCTCCACGGTAGAAGCAGTGAATCACAGAAGTTGAGGTCGGGAGGAGCTGATGTGGAATGGGGCGGTTAAAGCAGGATTCGTGCCGTGACAGGTGTGAATGGAAATGACAGCAACGACATGTGGATGGGGACTGCCATCCTCCTCGGGAGCTGTCGGGCAGTGTGCAGCCAGGCGCAGTCTCCACTCATGGAGGGGGACCCGCTACCCACCCGGGTACCACCGCAAGCCAGAAGCTGGGGCTGAACCCGGGTTCCGCTCAGTGGTGGCGACCTCATCGCAGGGTCTGTTGTGTGAGGGTCTCAGAGCGACCGACGACAACTCAGAAAATGAGTTTATGTCCAGCGCAGCACCAACTAGCATGACCTGAGATTGGAATTATCCTCGGGACACGCTGCTCAGCCATTTAGAACGGGGTGCTGCCAACACAGGGGCAGGTCCCGATTACTGTTGCTGTTGCTCTCGTGGCGCTAGGACCTGAACCTGCAGCGCCTCACGGGCTCTAGAACCGCGCTGCTGAGCACGACGCTGCAGACCCAGCTCTAGGGACCGGATTTGTTGTGGAGGGAACCGGAAAATGATGCAAACACTGAAACAGTAACAGTGTTTAGAGACAGTCAAGTCCAGGTGCCACAGTGTGGATACCAGAAAACACAGAGATGATGGCTTGGGTCACCCGTGCAGGCCGCATAGCCCTTATCAAAATATTTGGAACCAGAAATATTGTGGATTTTGGACTGTGGGGAATTAGGACTTTTATAGGTATATGCTCAACCTGTATTGCTTTTGGTTTTTTTATTTTATTTTACTTTTTGTCTTTTTGAGACAGGGTCTCACTATGCAGTTCAGGCTGGCTTTGAGCTCACTTTGTAGCCCAGGCTGGTCTCAAACTCATAAGAATCCTCCTGCCTCAGCCACCCGAGTGCTGAGATAACAGGCGTGCACCACCACACCCGGCCCTGTATTGTTTTTACCAGTTTAAAAGAAAATTATCACACTGGTGATGACTCCCCCACCAATATCTCTCCTGTGCTTTTCATCCCACACATATGACACTGTACATTAACACAAAAATTCTTATTTAACACAAACCATAGGAAGATTTTACTGTTTCTTTAAAATAGCTATTCTTTCCAATGTGTTCTGATTACTCATAGATATGTTTTTATTAAAACTGCTATAGCTCTAAGAACCTCTAGAAACCATGCATATTTATATTTCAACAAGACAAAAACAAACCCCAGGCATTGTGAAAAGCCGCCATGTTTTAAATGGTCACGAGTTTAAGCTGCAGACTGACAATGAGACACCTGATGAGCACGTGGCCGGACCCTGCTACCTCCCGCAGAAAACTCAGAGGCCAAGGTGCCTCCAACCACACTGTAGAAACGTTTGCTATGATTTCTTTCACTCTTGAAAAATGGCTGCACCGCTGTATCTTAGGAACACAAGGACGAGAAATGAAGAACGGGAGTGACAGCCACACCCTGTCCTCCATGCTGGTCCCCACTGGGTGCGCAAGACACAGTCTTGATCCAGACACTGCGGCCCTGGATGTGCCCCTCAGGGTGAACCAGACAGGGTCGGCTACTGCCCCCAGGGCCACTCTTTGGGCACTGAAGCAGCTCTTTCACTGCTCTGCGCTCAGCTGGTGGAAATCTTCTCACGCTAACAGCGATTCTGGTTAATATTTCTGCAGGTGCTGGTGGTGGGACAACAGATAACATGGCTTGCAAGTTACGTTCTTTCTCTGTGTAATTTTTCTAGTGTGTTTTCTACCCTGTGTGAAGTCTTGCTAATTCATTCATTGTTAAAGGCGATCACCTTGAGGAAGGACAGTGAACTGTTGGTCAAAATCAGATATTACCAAACTTACAGTGTGGAGGCAGAGACAGAAAATAATAAAGTCACAACATGAATATAAGTAAAATAGCCTCAAAGTCAGTGTGAATCTGAAGGAAAAGTGTATTGTGTTTGTGAGTATCTAAAAGAGGAAAGTGGGGGCCAAGCTGGGTTAAGGAGTATTCCCTTGTAGAAGTTATGACATCAACTGGTCAGGCTTGTCATAAAAATACGTTCCATATACTTACATAAATCTCATGTGATAATGTTCATAGAAGTATAAAACACTCACAATGTGGATTAAAAACAGAGGGCTGTAAATATGGCTGTGGGGATACAATGATATGCTTATTTATTTACTTAGAAGAAGGCACATAACACACAGCGCATAGCACACAACCAGTGATGTGTGACAGGTACACTGGTCCGTGCCCCATTTATTTGTCTCTCACTGTAGAAAAATGAATGCATCTGCCAATACTTGTCACCTTCTATCCAACGCTCACTTTTGTTCCCACAACTCAACAGTTCTGTCCACAAAACAGAACAATACACAAAGTAATAAAAGTGCACAGCATACATTTCAAAGAGTGATTAATGCTACGCATGCAATGTATGACAGTTTTTAGTTTGTGTGCCAAATTATGAAAAAATACTTGCTTTTAAAAAGCTATTATTGTTCTGCGTAGATCACTAGGCAGAACACAGGCTGGGTTTTATCACAACTTGTTTTACAACCTTTCTGGGGCTACCACCTGGAAACTGAGGGCAGATTTCCAAAAATCTGCACTTGATTATCTGTAAGCAGTGTCTAACGTCACAGGACACTTATCATGGACAATGTTCAAGAATAAAGCTATTTAAAAAAAAAAAAAAAAAAAAAGAATAAAGCTATTTTACTTAGAAATATCTTGGGGTTTCCATGTATCCCTTCCAAGGGTCTGACTTTGGGCATCTGTCCCTGGACAAGGCATCATCAATATGATGATAAGAACTCAAATCAGTCACCCTTTCATTTGGCCAGCTTCCAATAAACTAGAGATACACCCAAGTCACAGTGAATTTCTTGAAGTTCACTTGCTGTCTTGGAAAAACACTAGAAACATTCCTGTTCTCCGCATTTTAATTAGAGCTCATATAAGAAGGCTCTCTTGAGACCATGGAATATACAGGAAATAAGCGTGTCATTATCTACAAACACACAAGAGACAAAGAAAGTTGTCAAATACTGTCATCCTGAGCTGTACAAGAGTGCGTCAGCCAGTTCTGCAACAAAATTGTCTCGGTGGCTGTGCTTGACTTGCACGTAACTGTTCGCGATCACTTAGCTCCAAAGCGATGATACTCACTACGCCGCGGAGTCGTTCAGCTGGTACTCCCGGGATCTGTTGAAACAGGCTTGCACACCACTATCTTTCCACAATCTCTTTATAACGCCAGCAAGTTCTGCTGTCATAAAACCTTCTTCGGCGGCTCCAGCGAGCACGAAGAGCTGGCGGGCGTCATCCTGAACATGCAATAACCGAGAATTTAGAGGAAAAGGGAGACGTTAGAGATTGAAAAGGACAAAGGGAGAGATTAGAGACACAAATGCGCAACAGTACATTTTCCATATGCTTTTAATAGGAGTGGCATAGCTTTTCTCCCTCTGAAGCACCACTTTAAGAACTAGACCAACCGAAAGAGCACAATCATAAACAACAAGCCTATGCTTAATGGTACTGGTAGTGTGTACCTCGGTGGGCAGTAGGAAACTGGAAGAATAAAGTGCCTGCACTTGAAGGACAGCTGTTCATGGACTGTTTTCTGTGTCATGAAGATGACCATCTTTGAGAACAGAGGAAGAATCTATGCTCCACTTCCCCTGCCTCAAAAGACTTTTAATCTAAGAAACACACACCATTCCAGATTACGTTAAAATGGGATCTAATTAAGTGTTAGCTTTCTGATATACTTTATTAATGCAAAATATATTCAGAGAAGCGAGAAGTTAAGGTGGAGTAAGTAGGTAAAAAGCGTTTCACAGAATGATCTGCAGATTCCCAGGAGACCTTGATGTATAGTCACGCTGAAGTCATCCAGGAAGTGGCTAGGAGGAGACATTTGCTAACCTAGGCACAAGAACAAAATGCACAAACCACGCAAGCATTTCCAAATGAAAGAAGAGTGTGTGTAAATTTCATTAAATTTTGCTTCAGCATCGAGGCTGCCAATCTTTACATTTTTTTGAGCCACTTTTGACCAGTGTAGTCAGGGAGTGATAAAACATGAGCCCCTGAGGCAATCTCAGGTTTCAAACAGCTTCATTAAGGCTGGGCATGGCAGTGCACTCCTGAAATCCTAGCAAGGGAGGCCGACGCAGGCAGATCATCACTGAGATCCAGGCAGGCCAGCCTGGGCTCCAAGCTGAATTCAAGGACAGCCTGAACTACATAGCCAGACCTCGTCTTCAAAAAGCAAAACAAAAGATATAAACAGCCACATTAAAAAAGTAAAAGCAAAAGAAGCCAGCTGACATTAACATTATCTTTTATTTAACCTACATAGAGAAATATTATCACTTCAACATCCAACCTGCGCAACATAACCACGAGATATCTCACATTACTTTCCTGGGTATTAAGTCTTCCCACGCTGGTGTGCGGCACCTCACTAGCGGCACATCTCTGCTCAGACTAGACGCATCTCGGACTCAGCAGCCACAGGGAGGTAGTGCAGGGGCTAGGAACTCTGGCCTCCAGGTAATACCGCAGTTAATCCGCAAACAGGCAAAGCAGGAAGCCTCTCCCTGCACAAAGGTCTCTTTAGCCTGAGACCGAGCTTTATGCTGACGGGGTGGAGAACCCCTAACTGCTCCTGACAACCCTTTCTTCCAGCACAGCTGGCTGCCTTTATCTGCATGGTTTGTAGCTGTGCATTCCACCAACCAGACTGAAGATACTGGAAACTGTACCAGAGATGTACAGATGCGCTGTCTTTATCCCCTACGCAAGGCAACGGAGCCAGGTTTCCACAGCAATGACACTGTGTTTAGACATTATGAGGAATCTGGAGATGACGTAAAGCGTATTCAGGAAGATGTGCGTAAAGGGCAGGCAACTACTATGACACTTCTACATCCCGACCTTGGCATCTGCTGGGGGTCCAGGGACTCACCCCCAGGGGATGGGTATGTCACAGGAGGTGCTTGTCATGGGACAGAACATATTATGACACACGCACAGCAGCAGAAGAGACGCATTCGGTGACTGAGGCTAGCAGAATGTACTGACAATATAAATTCACCCTGTTGCCAGTTTGAGGAACATTCCCTTTTCAGCTGGAGCTCATCACGAAAAATAATTAAGTCTCTCGGCATGGGAAGATATTATCCAAGCATATGTTTTCCCGTTTAGTAAAGCACAAGGGAAAGGCATGCATGTGAACAACACGTGCATAACCCTATCCTCAGTGAACCCCGCCTGTCACAGCGCTGGTCCTTCCCAGCGGGATTAAACCAACTCCAGTGAACATTCAATCCACCAACTACTTATACACGCGGAAGTTCCAAATCTCATTGCTTTTGTCACAATCTCTTCATTCAATTTCAATAGTTTTTGCCAGAAAAGAATAATACCTTCCACTGTGGGTCATCAGATCACATTCTCTTCAAACTTTCTAAGAAACCTCAAGAAGAAATTTTGGAAGCTGTACTTATAGACTCCACTCGGAGTGACATTCAAAAAATGTCTCTGCAAATAATGACAACTTAACTCTTCCTTTCCTAGCTTTATTCCTTTTATTTCTTTCTCTTGGCTAATTGCTTTGACTATCATTTTCAGAACTATATTGAACAGGCGTGGTGATAGTGGATACCCTTGCCTTGTACCTGATTTTAGAGTGAAAGCTTTCAGTTGACCCAGAGTGAGAAAAAAATCTTGCCAGATAGTCCTCAAAACAAGGGCTCATATCTAGAATGTACAAAAAAACTAAACAAATGAGATACCCTCAGAAATTGAAAGACCCACTCCAAAACCGGGTATATGAAATGAATAAACACATCCCAGATGAAGAAGTACAAACAGCAAATACATATACAAAAAAATGTTCAAAGTCATTGGTCATTGGAGAGACGCAAATTAAAACAACACTGAGATTCCATCTCACTCCAGAAAGAGTGGCTGTTATCAAGAAATCAATCAATAATAAATGCTGGAGGGGGTGTGGGGAAAAAGGAACCCTCCTCCACTATTGGTGCGAGCATAGACTGGTGCAATCACTGTGGAAATCAGTATAGAGATTCCTCAAAAAACTGGGATTGGAGGTCCCATTTGAGCCAGCTATTTCCCTTTCTGGTATCTTCCGAAAAGAATTAAAAACATCATACCACAGCGATATATGCACATCCACATTTACAGCAGTGCAGCTGGTATAGCTAAATCTTGGAAACAGTCCAAATGTCCATCGACTGATGACTGGATAAGGAAGGTGTGTGGTTTTTTTATACAATGGAGTACTACTCTGCCACAAAGAAGGATAAGCTGGAGACATTTCTAGGTGAATGGATGCACCTTGAGACCGTACTCAAGTGAAATAAAGGGGAAACACATGTGTAAATGTTGCATTGTTTCTGTGGTGTGAGAAACTGAAAGTGTAAATAAGGGCCAAAATGTGTAATAATAGATATTGTAAAATAGGAAGAAATTGTTAAAACAGAAAGGGGGATGGGGGAAGAGAAAAAAAAAGAATAGAGGAAAAAATGGAAACAAATATTTTTGTAAGCATGCAAGGGAAGAGGGATTGAAGAGAGGGGAGGGGAATAGGAAATAAAGAAGCAAGATGCATCACATGCACATACAAACTCCCTGCGATGAGTGTGATCATTATGTGTATCTAATATGTACCAAAACCTTAATTTAAAAAATCTCCTCCTCTTTCAGATCCCACGGATAAGTGAGTCTATGTAACATTTTCCTTTCTGTGTCTCATTTAATTCAGCAGAATCTAAAGGACAGTGAGAGACGGGGAGAAAAGCTCTTGGGACCCAACCTAACAGCACAGAGGAGGAGCAAGTCCAGAGATCAAAGCCACGATGCGACGGCTATAAATAACACCAGGGTGTCCTGGTAAAAGAACTCTTTGCTAAAGGACTCAATGTTAGCTGTCCTTGCCGCACAAAAAGGTAACTAAATGAAATGACAGACGCGTTTATGTGCATCACAAAACAGCCATGTTACTAGCTGCATGGATACCATCCTAGCATCAAACTGTAAAACCTCAAACGTACACACAATAAGTTGTTTTTTAAAAAAGTTTCTTCTTCAAAAAAGTAAAATAGCTTTTTCTCGAACAGCTCCTTGGAACATTCACCTCCGTACCATGAGCGGGACATGCAGGTGTCAGGAGGCGCTGTGGAGGAAAGACCACAGGAACTGCTGTAACTGACCCTTCGTTTTGCACGAAGAGAAAAGGACCCAAGGCACAGGACTGTGAAGCAACCTGCTTTGAGTTCCACAACTAACTGGGCACCCAGTCAGTGAGTCAACAATGACTAAACAGCTGTTGTTTAAAACAGGACGATTACAAACTGCAGAACGATGACAATGGTCTCTTCTTGCTACGGCAAAAGCTCTTTGCAAAATTTACACGGAAGAAAATTGCTCAGGAACATTTAGAAACATCATTGTGACTCCAGCAAAATAGCATGGCAAGGTGTAGGGAGAGCACAGGGTCTGCGGAGGGCAGGGAGGCACCGGGCAGGTTCATAAACCCGGTCTGCAGCGGTGTGAGAAAGGAAGCCGGCTGTGGGTGCAGCTCAGCGGCGGTGTGCTAGGCCTCCAAAAAAAACAAAAACAAAAACGAAAGGAAAAGCATCCTCCAGAGAAGGAAAATTTCAAAAATGTTATTCGCTGGCAATGATTTGAGAATCACAAGGAAAACAATCCTTGGATGAAGCCAAGGGAATGCGTGTGTAAATTTCCAAGCTCTACATGAGAATAAGGTGACTCAGAGACTGCAACTTGGGTCCACAGACTACGTGCCATGGAAAGTCACGCAGGAGCCGCGGTGCACCACTGTGCAAAGGACGAGGAGTAGGTGTCTCCCAGCGGCCGCGAGGAGCACCCAGCACACGGCGCTTTCTTAGAGACACGCATGTGGGGTGAAGCTAGCATCCTCCTTACAGGATTCACACGGGTCTGCCCAGGATGGAGGACACTCAACTTTGAGCAACCATGTGGCGGTCTTCTGACGTACTGCTGATCACAAAAGGTCCTGCTGGACGCAGGGCAGAAAAATGGGCATTCTTAGCGCAAAACATCAGCCTGAAGTTCAGTAACAGGAACGCTTGTCAACAGTGAAAGCAACCTTAAAAACAGAACGAGGAGGCCTGTGTACGCGTGCGTGCACGTACGTGTGCAGTGCTGGGACTGTGCCCGGGGCGCTCTGCAGGCCAAGCCTGTACTCTGCCACTGAGCTGAAGCCCCGCCCCTGTTAAACATTCTATTTTGAGAGAGAATATCACCAAGT